CAGGGAAGGTCCCAGCCAAAAAAAAAAAAAAAACCCGAAAAAAAGTTAAAAAAACTATGTCATGCAGAAAAATAAACTGAACAACTTTTGCCTCAGGGTCACATCGAAATTCTGCACCAAATTTAGAATAAAAAATAAAATTTTAATTTGTAATTTTTTATTTTATTTTTTAATTGTTTTTGGCCCGGCCGGGCAAGTGACCCCGGGCCACTCCGGTAGCCTAGATTATATTATTGTTATTATTATTATTAATATTATTATTAATATTATTATTATTATTAATATTAATATTATTATTATTATTATTATTATATTTATATATTTATTGCGAGGATCTGGGTCCTCGGCAGGCCTAAGGGGCCCCTGCAGCAAATGTGCCCGCCCTAAGTGAAGGCGGGCCTAACAAATCACAAGAGGCCCTTGGCTGTCAATTTTGCATTTGGGGTCCAGGCAGTTTCGTCGCGCCAGTTGGTTGAAGGGAAACACAGGCCGAGCAGCATGGAAATTCCCAGGCCTTCTAGGCCTTTCCGAAAGTACAGGCCCTGGGCGAGATTCGCAGCCTCATACACAGACAGTTGGGAGGCCCAACCGAATGAGGCCCAGTAGCTGCACCAGAGGCGCAGCATCCTGGGGCCTACCGGAAGCTTCTGGGCCCAGGCCAGTCCAGCCAGGCTGCCAGATGAGACAGGCTCTTTCCATATAGGAAAGAGCTTGCTGCCTGGTCAGGGATGGGGGCACTCGCATGCTGGCGGTAGTGCTGCTGGAGCTGAAGCTCGCGGGCTGCTGCTAGCGCTGAGAGGCGAGGTGCGAGCACGTGCCGTCGTGCAGGGAACAGGGTGCTGCTGAGGGCAGCGCCATAGCCCAGCCTCCATAGCTGGCAGGGCTTGGATGTACAGTGAGGCGCAGGGGTGGTCTTCGGGTGTAAACAGGGAAGACGTGGGAGAAAGTCAAGAGCGAGAGAGAGAAGGATGATGATGATGATGATGTGAGTGCTCATACCTGGTATTGGCAATAGTCTGCTACGGGCGACATCTTCAAGTACTTCGGAGGCTGCTGACGTCAACAGTTGCATTGTCAATTAGTAGGCTAGTAGTAGCTGTGTAGGGAGTAGGCTGGGGGCCGAGCGCCAAGTAGGGAGTTAGGGACTGGATACATGTGTTGGTGGTGGCGAGAGCAAGCTCTCACTGACATTGGCTTTCAGTGCTACTATTCTCTATTGGTGTCATATTGGTGCAATGCTACTTTCTGAACACTGTGATACGATCTGGCTTTCAATGTGATTGTGCAATCTGAATATTGTCATCTCGCTTCTGTTCATTTTCCTCGCATTATTATATTTATTATTATTATGATTATATTATTATTATTATTATTATTATTATTATTATTGTCAACAAGAAGTTGGGAGAATTATTGGAGGTCGAAGACGGTGGCGAGGTGAAGGGGAATTTACATTGGTACTTGCTGATGTTTATCTTCTTCTTCTTCTTCTTCTTCTTCTTCTTCTTCTTCTTCTTTCTTCCTTTCTTTTTTTCTTTCTTTCCTTCTTTCTTTATTTCTTTCTCTCTTTATTCTTCTTCTGCCTTTGCCTATTTCTCTTTCCAAGTTCTTTCATTTTAGTTGCAACTGAACAGCATTGTCTTTCTTTGATTTGTTGCACTGCAAGATAGCGAGGATCGTAACAAAGGGGGGAAAAAAAACAGCAGTGCAACAAAATCAAAGAAAGACAATGCCGTTATATTTCTCACTTGTTTGGCAAAGTTGTGCTTTTTCACTTTTTCTCTTTTTTGCTTTTTCACTTTTTCTCTTTTTTCCGCATTCACCGAGCACATACCTTAAATAGAAGGTATCTATAAATAAACCATCCGCTGTACCCCAATCCAACAAGTTCCATGACCTTTGGCAGCTGCAAGCGAGGGAAGACAGGGAAAGCCAAAAAACAGAAGTAAAAAAAAGAGAGTCATTTCAAGTGGGTTAAGTGATGTGGCCCTCATAGAGAAGAAGTTCACAGCAATGGACGACAAAACAATCAATAAACAGAGTGAGAATGATTCCACACAAAATAACATAAACGACCCATAACAGGGAAACTGAAAATCCTTTTAGAAATAACAGACAATGGGTCCCCCCTTCCTCCCCAACCATGCTACACAGGGGCAACACAAATGCAACACAGGATTAGCATTGTTTGTTCTTAGGCTCTTAGCTATTCGCTGTCAAGCCACTCTTAACAATTACAATTCAATGATCAGGAAAGAGTTACGTGTTTGAAGATCCTTAAGCTGTACTC